AAAGAAAGTTTTCCCGTAATGTTTACATCCGGTTTAGAAGAGAGAGAGAGAGAGAGAGAGAGGTCTGAGCAGTAATACCAGAGTTTTACGTCTCAAACCCGACATAAAAAGCGGTCATAAAAAGTTGCTATCTTTTGTTTTTGGACCACTATTTCTTAACCCTATTTATATTTGTCATTATTTTAGTTTATTTTTATAAATCTTGTGTAAAATAAGTGTTAATTCATTGTATAATATTCTTTCTACATAATAATAATGTATTCTATTACTTTATTTTAAAATATAAGCTTTGCTTTTGTGAGATTAAGTTCTTGTCTACTATTGTAACCGAAGTATCGGACAATAAAGGGTTCACTCGCTTATCAATTAAACAATAATTGTATTACAATTAAGTAGAGAAATGCCTTCAAATAGGACTTACAATGGACTGAGAATAGACTGCGAATAATACATAGAGTGTGTGAGTCTTTTATACCCTGTTTGTGACATAAAGGTAAGAATAATATGGTTACATAAGTATGCATATGAGGCGATATATAGGAGTAGGGACTGGTGTATGAGCTCATCAAAGTCATCATGATAGTTTTCAGGAATATTACCAGGAGTGACTAAATCACATTCACGACACTTTATAGCTATATTCAATTTGTGTTCAATTGTATAATAAACGTAGAAAAATTCAATTCAAGTATTGACGTAGTTATATATTGACATAGTTATTTATTTTCTTTAATTTTATTTTGAAGTAAAGTTATATTATTAAAATTGCAAATCATAATTTAAGTTAATAAATAATAATCAGTTTTATAATGATAATTAAATATTCAGTTATAAAACAGTTTTATTAAAATACAAAATTATTTTACATAATCCTGTAATCAAAGCAAAACTGTTAATAATGTCTGAAACAGCAGGAAATAGTCTTACAATTGAAAAACCAATGAGTGATATCAATATATTGGATAACAAATACAAGCAATTAATTACATGGACAATATGTTTCTGCAACCTTTCTTACGTAAGTTGTATTAATTTTATTTATGTTAACTGATCATCATTTAAATGACCTAGGGAATTGTTATCAGCATAATTAGTCCAGCATTGGGTGATCTAACGGTCAAATTAAACACAACCACATCTAGTATTACATATGTTTTCTTCTGTTTTTACATCGGCTATACTATTGGATCACTAATTAGTTTGTATTTGTTTGTGAATATTAAGTTTAATTGCATTATTATAACTATGCATTATAAATTATAATTTATAATACTGTATATTCATTATTAACTATTGCCATTATTAATTATATTCTTGCATATTATTGTCATATTATTGCACAATAAATATTATTTTTTATTATTTGATTATATTTTTAAACTAAAATTTTAATTATAATAATTTTTAATTATGCAAATTTATATTTTCATGTTTTCATATAAAGACGGCTATGTTTATAATCGTATTAACCGTCAATCGGTTTTAACATTTCTAATGTTTTTGATGGCCGTAACCATAGCTGTGGTACCCATTTGTCCAAATCTGGGTGTATTGTTCACAATGGCTGCTCTCACTGGCTATGGATTTGGTGGTTTTGAAACGGGAATAATTGCATGGATTGTAGAAATTTGGCCCCAAAATTCAAGTACATATATGGGCATGGTGAAATTTATTTACGCCTTGGGTACATGCATAGCGCCACTAATCTCAGCCCCATTTCTCACTAATATTAACACTAATTATGCGGCAATTAATGCAACAAATATTACGATTGCAAACAGTGTTAACGTATTGCGACTCGAAGTGCCGTTTATTATTGCCGGTGTTTTGTGTTTCATATCAGTGGTTCTGTTAATAATTTTACACTTTTATCGCAAATATAATCCCCCAAAAAATGAAGAGAAAGTAAACCGTTTAAAACAACCGATGAAATGGCATTATATTTACCTAACACTTGGATTATTGATGATCGGGCCGGCAATGGGCTTACAATTCATGAATTTCCAACTCATGCCTACATTTTTGGCCGATTCTTACCAACATTTATCTGACTCCGAGAGTTCCCTAATATTAGGCCTATTAACCGGCGTTTATGCAATTTCTCGCTTAATTTACATTATTATTGCCACAAAGTTTAGCACTAAAATCTATAATTATAGTTATTTGATTCTCACATTAGTTTCCAATGTACTGCTGTTTGTATATCAATATTACGATTACTCCAAGGGATTACTGTACGCCGGGATAATTATAATGGGGTTTGGATTGGGACCTATTTATCCGGCATTTATTGCATTTTTGGCATCAAATATGAGTCTAAATAACACGACGAGTGGTATTATAATTAGTGTAACCGGAATTTCGTCGGCAGTATTATCAGTGGTTTGCGGCCAATTCATTGCCGGACAGCCATTGGCTCTCATTTATATAAATTTAATTATAACCGCTTTTATTATTATTGTTTTTGCGTTGTTTGATGTGATTATTTCTGTGAGAAAATACAGATCTATTCAATCTAATGAATAGCCGTATTGTTAGACATCTATTATTACTACATATTTTTCTTTCATAATCTGTAATTTTATTACAATTTCATATATTATTCTTCAATTATAACAGATATTCAATATTATAATTATTAATACAATGACTAAATTATATTACAATGACCAATTTTATTTTACAATAAATAATGATTTAATGTTTTTAAGACTGTATAAAACTTACCAATATTTGTGGCTTAACCATTGGCCGAGAAATTCTGTCTCACATAACCAAGTATTAGACGAGCATATAATTTATACACATCAATTATTTCTAAAATAAATTTATTGTGCATATGTAGATATTCATGTCTGATTATTTTATTTATAGAACTAAATAACTTGATGCATTTTGAACAATAAACCAATAATAGATTTTTAAATTAGTTTTTAAGTTTTTTAATCAGTTAATTGTCAATTGAGTTCTCTTTGGCAGACAATTCCAAGTCTAAGACTTTTTTGGCAAATTTGTGAATGTCTTGAGTGAGTAGTTTTGGCTCTTCAAAGGCGGCGAAGTGTCCACCTCTGGGCATATCTGTGAACTGAATCAGATTTGGGAACTGATAGTAAGCCAACGATTTGGGCAAATGAAGTAATTCGTTGGGAAAGTCAGCGTAAGCCACGGCTACGTTGGGCGACACAGGGATTCTAACATTAGATTTGAATTTTATTGTTTAAATCAGATTTATTTACAATAAATCATATAAAATATTTAAATGACTCACTCTTCTAAACCGGATGTAAACATTACGGGAAAACTTTCTTTATAGAAACGTAGACTCGAGGCCACATTATTGGACACCCAGTATATCATAACATTTGTGAGTAATTCATCGGAAGTAAACTTCTCGGTTAGTCCGCCGTCCGGTTTGTTAAGATTTTTCATATCAGTTCCGACTGAAAATTTTTCCAATATATATGCGGCCAAACCTACCGGACTGTCCATCAGTGCGGCACCGATTGTGTCCGGTTTAGTGGCCTGAATATGAACATGGCCAGATTCACGTAATAGTGTATAGAATTTGTCCAAAAGTGGATATATTTTTTGGTAATCCCTCTGAGGATTATCGAAGATTAGGGCCGGAAAATAGGTTCCAATTATTTGTTTAATGAAAGGAATTCCGGATTTTATGTTTTCAGCCATTGATAGATGAATGCCACGAATGCTATAGTATTTTAGAAATAATTAATAATTTTGATTAATTAAATAAAATACTAATCCTACCGATCGGGGTATAACTGAGCCATAGATTTAGCGATAGCTGACCCCCAGTCGCCTCCGTGAACGAAAAAACTTTTATAATTTAATCTGTCCATTAGTTTTACAAATATTCCGGCGGCCGATAGCGCGCTAAAACCTAATTAAAAACAAAATTTAATAGTTTTTAATAATTAAATAGTAATGTCTATAGTGGACAGTCATCCCAACCCTCCTGATGAGGTGCCTCTGAAAATCCAAAACCAGGAATCGATGGACAGATCACTTCAAATGCAATGTCATTTGAGGGTTCAATAAGTAGTGGTATCGCCTTATAATACTCCCAAACAGATCCGGGCCATCCATGGATTACCTTTACATAAGATGTTTAATTAAAAGTCTATAAAATAAATGTTGTATTAAAATCAACCATAAGAGGAACGACTGTTTTCGCGGGTTTTGATGGCTTAACGTGAATGAAGTGAATATCAATGCCATTGATTTGAGTGCTGTATTGATTGAATTGATTTAATTGTGATTCTTGTTTCCGCCAATCAAATGTTGTCTTCCAGTATGCGATTACTTTTTGCAGATAATCGCCATTAAAGCCATAATTGAATTGAGTTCCCGCTATTGGCGTCACATATCGGGCCGATTGGAGCCGACTCTTGAGGTCTGCGAGCACTCCATCCGAAACATTGACCACAAACTTATTGATAGCTACCGACTCTTTGGGAAACGCCTGTCCGCCTGTTTATTATAAAATTGTTAATTATTAATAATAATTTATTATAAATATGTACACAATTACATAAATTTATTTTTAAAAGTTATAATACAATTTAAATAAATAAACAAGTTAAATTTACTTTTGAGAGCATTTTTTCCAAACCATTGATCTTTAATATCTGGTAATTGATGTTTATGAGTAACTTTTGAATATATGAGGGCAGATATTACTGCAATCACAGCTATTATTATGCATTTCTTAATGAGAGACATAATTTTAACTAAAATGTATGTTAAGTTTGTATTTTATTTATAAATAAACTGGACTAATGTCTGTAACATTTACTCAATCAAGTTGATATAAAAATGTTAATCAATTTGTGATTAGATTTTAGTGCATTTTAAGTGTAATCAAGGCTTATATTACATCTCAAGTTACAACATCTCAAGTTAAATAAATTAGAAAACTTAATTATTAATTCATTATTGTTAGACTTATTATCCCGAATAAATATTCTAGCATATTACAATTTATAATTTAAAGATAAATTGTCTGAAAATCTATTATAGATACTGTAAAGTCTAGCTAGCCAATAGCGCCATTTTAGTTACCTTACTAAAGGTTATACACCTGCCATCCCTTCAAAGCATGCATTACCAAGGTGCAATTTTATAATGAACTTTCAGCAAAAATTGGGGTGAGGTGACTATTGCATCACTTTTGGCTAGCTAGACTGTAAAGTATATTAAAAGTACTTCAATAAACTCTATGTAATTAAAAATAAAAATTTGTAAAAATATTTTATAGTTTGAGTTATACTTATATCAATATATGAATTGAGTTATGCATTAAAGAGTTATCTATTGAATGTACTTTTTATGGGGATTTTGAAACTTTTAATTATTCAAAAAGTACACAATCATTGTGTTAATCAATTTAAGAACAATGGCATAGAAAACCTATTTAGAGATGAATGAATGTACTGTATAAGCAATTTATATTATTTTTCTTTTGCGATATACTTTAAGGCAATTAAGTTGAATGCCATTCAACGTGTTCTTACTGTTAGATTTGAGTGCATTTAAATATTCATTGCTAGTGAAATATAATTTCTTAATTTGTTTATTATAAATATTAATTATTAATAAAATTGCAGGTAATTTTATATTATTTTTTATGTAGGTAATAATGATATTATATTTCATATCATTGAAAACAAGGGCGTTTTTGCATGATAAAATTAATAAACTTAAAATTTTGTCTTATTATACCTGTATAAACATTAAAATTTTATCATGTGTACATTGTATAACATATCGTTCACTTGACTGTATTTTATTCAAAATTAATAAAACAATTTCAATTATACAAACATTGCTATCATTGCAAACTTAAGTATCAAATTCTATTTTAAAAAATTAAATATAATAACAATTATTTTTTAATTGGTTTCTCTTTGGCAGACAATTCTAAGTCTAAGACTTTTTTGGCAAATGTGTGAATGTCTTGAGTGAGTAGTTTTGGCTCTTCAAAGGCGGCGAAGTGTCCACCTCTGGGCATATCTGTGAACTGAATCAGATTTGGGAACTGATAGTAAGCCAATGATTTGGGTAAATGACTGATTTCGTTGGGAAAGTCAGCGTAGGCTACGGGAACACTGGGCGACACCGGGATTCTGGAAAATATGTATTTAAATTTTAGATATAAAATTATCATATATTAAACTAACTAATAAATATTATGTATTTGGTAAAAATATTATAAAATCACTTACGTATCAATACCGGATGTATACATTACGGGGAAACTTTCTTTATAAAAACGTAGACTTGAGGCCACATTATTGGACACCCAGTATATCATAACATTTGTAAGTAATTCATCGTAAGTAAATTTCTCGGTCAGTCCGCCGTCCGATTTGTTGAGATTTCTCATATCAGTAGCGGTGGAGAACTTTTCCAATATATATGCGGCCAAACCTACCGGACTGTCCACCAGTGCGGCACCGATTGTGTCCGGTTTAGTGGCCTGAATGTGATAATATCCCGATTCACGCAATATTGAAGAGTATCGGTCCGAAAGTGGATATAGTTTTTTGTAATCCCTCTGAGGATTATCGAAGATTAGGGCCGGAAAATAGGTTCCGATTAATTCCTTAATTAAAGGCATTCCGGATCTCATGTTTATACCCAGTGTTAAGTGAATGCCACGAATGCTGTGATAGTATTATAATAATTAATAATAAATTTTTTTGTTAACTTAATAAAATACTAGCTTACTTGTTGGGGTATAACTGGGCCATAGTCTTAGTGATGATAGAGCCCCAGTCCCCTCCGTGAACTAGAAACTTTTTGTGACCTAATCTGTTCATTAATTTCACAAATATATTGCCCGCCGCTAACGCATCAAAACCTAAATTTATTAATAAATATAAGTTTTCAATAATTAAATAGTAATGTCTAAAGTGATCAGTCATCCTAACCCTCCTGATGGGGTGCCTCTGAGAATCCGAAACCAGGAATTGATGGACAGATCACTTCAAATGCGATGTCATTTGAGGGTTCAATAAGTAGTGGTATCGCCTTATAATACTCCCAAACAGATCCGGGCCATCCATGGATTACCTTTATATAAATTGTATTTAATATTTAATTTAATTTTTTACAAAATAAATGTTGATTTGAAACTAACCATAAGAGGAACGACTGTTTTCGCAGGTTTTGATGGCTTAACGTGAATGAAGTGGATATCAATGCCATTGATTTGAGTGATGTATTGATTGAATTGATTTAATTGTGATTCTTGTTTCCGCCAATCAAATGATGTCTTCCAATAATTGACTACTTTTTGCAGAGAATCGCCATTAAAGCCATAATTGAATTGAGTTCCAGCTATTGGCGTCACATATCGGGCCAACTCTAATCTCTGTTTCAAGTCATTGAGCACTTTATCCGGAATATTGACCACAAATTTATTAATAGCCACCGGATCTTTGGGTTGAGTCTCACCACCTGTTTGTTGTAATAATTAATTAATATTAGTTATAATTAATAATAAAATGCAAAATAAATATTAAAAACACAATGAATTTACTTTTGAGTGCATTTTTTCCAAACCACTTGTTATTAATTTCAGGCAATTTATGTCTTCGCGCTATTTTGGGATATAAGATGGCAAAAGTCAATGCAATTGCAGCTATTATTATATATCTTTTAAAAGCCATAGTTTTCGTCTTATAATTAACAACAAAATTACAAATATATTTTGTATATAATTTGTATATACAGTAAATAACCAAATGATCACAAAATTCACTCAATTTATATACTTTTCAATTAATACTCATTTCAAGACATAATACAATATACAAGTGTTTCGTGATTAGAGGAAAACATGTATATTGCTTGACAAATATGATGGTATTGCTGTGGTTATATAAAATTATGATTGCCCTTGAACGTTTTGTTCAGACCTCCCATAAAAGCACTCAAAATAAACTATTAGTACTGTAATTATCACTGAAAATTTTTATCTTTATTATGTTATTTATATGAATGCTTGATTTTTCAAGTGATATAAACATAAGCTTAAATTAAATGTCATTCAATGTAACACTAAATTGACCACATTTAGTTTATACAAAATTATATATAACATTAATAATATATTTCGTGAGTAAAAATGTTTGTAAGTTTTTACTTAAATATTTATAAATAAATTATTTATCAATCTATTATTATAAATATATAGCTCATTTTTCATAAAGTTTATGCTAGTTGCTGTGATAACTTTTATCTCATTATTATTCACCAAAATAATGATTTACATAATTTTGAATTTAATATTTTATTCATTAAATTACTCGTGGTCAACCTTTTTTAGCATATCACAAGTACAGATTCACAGTGTGCCATAAAAAGGCGGCGCATCGGTCAATAACAAAGTTTAGGTTTGTCAGTATTAAACAAGAAACATTGCGTGAAGGTCAACCTAATAATTTCTCACCTATTTTTATAGTGGTTGGCTTTCAGTCTATCCACAAAACGTCATTTAAAACAAAATTTAATTATTAAATACACATTTTAATATTTTGATGCAAAATAAATAATTTTTTAGCACCTTTTTAGCACCTTTTTAGTAACTTTTTAGCCATTTTTAAGTAACTTTTATAGTGACTTTAAGACTGGTTTTTGTCACCTAAAAGTCAATGCTTTACTAATGAGTGGTCCAATAGTATAGCCGATGTAAAAAGAGAAGAAAACGTATGTAATATTAGATGTGGTTGTGTTTAATTTGACCGTTAGGTCACCCAATGCTGGACTGATTATGCTGATAACAATTCCCTAGGTAATTTAAATAATGATCAGTTAACATAAATAAAATTAATAAAACTTACGTAAGAAAGGTTGCAGAAACATATTGTCCATGTAATTAATTGCTTGTATTTGTTATCCAATATATTTATATCACTCATTGGGTTTTCAATTGTAAGACCATTTCCTGTTGTTTCAGACATTATTAACAGTTTTGCTTCGATTACAGGATTATGTAAAATAATTTTGTATTTTAATATAACTGTTTTATAACTGAATATTTAATCATCATTATAAAACTGATTATTATTTATTAACTTTAATGATTTGCAATTTTAATAATATTTTAATAATATAACTTTACTTCAATATATTAATATCACTCATTGGTTTCTAAATTTTAAGACTATTTCCAATTTCTTTAGACATTATTAATAGTAGTTTAACAGAAATAATATTATGTAAAATGATTCAGAATTTAATTATAAAATGATATAAAATAAATTAAACACTTTATAAATGTATATTTGATAATATTTTTAAAAACAGAATATTGATAAATTCATTAATAATGTTTAATAATAATTAATAATGATATTACCATTAAATAAAATTCTCGTTTAAAGCACATAATTAACAAAACTAAATATGAGGAACCCATCAAACATAAGCGTAATTAATGATTAAATAATTAAAGTAACACCATGTATGAAATGCTTAATTAAATTATTTTATTGATTTGGAAAAACTATTTTTAAAGATGGTTTGGATTTAAATAACTAAAATAAATTTATGTATGTAGTAGCAATTTATAGCAAGGGCAATTTAGAGGCTACGGCCAACTCTCCCAACTCCACGAGTCGACGCAACTCGAGGTCAAACATCTTAAGGTTCGCACATCTCTGGGCCGACGGAAGCGATGGGTTTAGAGAGCATTGTTTTCCCGTCTCATAGATCTCGGCGTAAATATTCTTCATCTGAATATTGATTACAATTTCATTATAAATTGCTTTATAATTACGGATATAATGTATTACATACCTGAGTGATGACTGTTGCCATGGGAGGGGTGACCAGCTTAAGGAGGGCACCGCCCGCACCCATCAGTGTCTCTATAGCCGGAAGTCGAAGGTTAAACTCGACTAAAGCGCCGCCATTTCGCTCAATGAGATTGCATTCAACATGGTCGTTCATGTGATTGGCCCGGTATTGTTCATCGCACATGATCAATTGAGTCATTCCGGCGATCTGTTTAGTGGTCTGTGTCCTCTCGGTGTCGGTTCGGGCGCTGTTCAGCAATCGCTGTTCCCCTTCCGGTCCCAAAAGATTCACGATTTTCTGTCCGTAAACTGTATTGAAATCGTAATAACAGTGAAGTCCTAAGGCTTTGGCCGCTTCGGCCCTCTTCTCAACCATTTGTCCGGCGATTAAGAGATTATTTTGCGTCAAATTAAACAATTGTTGTGAATTCAGGCCATTGAGAGCATTGGTGCCGCTTTTCGCGCATTTAATGAACGCCCGGTTCTCAGTAAATGTCGCCCCAAATGCTATCAAATAAATTGAATGAGAGAGAGAGAGAGTGAGTGGTCTGAGCAGTGATACCAAAGTTTTAGGTCTCAAACCCGACATAAGAAGTGGTCATAAAAAGTTGCTATCCTACGAGATCTATGAGACGGGAAAACAATGCTCTCTAAACCCATCGCTTCCGTCGGCCCAGAGATGTGCGAACCTTAAGATGTTTGACCTCGAGTTGCGTCGACTCGTGGAGTTGGGAGAGAGAGAGAGAGAGAGAGAGAGAGAGAGAGATTATAACTTTATTAAAACAATTTAATATAAATCATACCAATAGTCAGAGAAATGGAGAATACAATGAATTGATAAAACATTTTGGTTTTTTAAAGACGATTATGTTTTAATCAGTTTCTAAATCGATTGTGAATTTAAATCAAGAAATATTTGGTTTATATACTTTGCAAATTAGCATGGTGATTGCAATAATTTGTTACATACTTTATTATAATTGTGATACTATTTGACATATAATTAATTGTTTTGATCGAAAGAGGGTTTTTCGTTGTGTAAAAACATGTGAATTTATTGCATATGTGTTTTAGTCATTATTTAACTCTTAATTGTTATAAAAAACGACTATAACTGCACTTTTAATTCATAAAAATTGGGTGCATTTTTGTTATTTTAAAATTATAATGATAAATATGATTGCCGCAATCTAGTGCATCTATTAATGGTTTTAAAATAATTATTTTTAAATAGGAAATGTAAATTATTTTACTATTAATAAATTGATTTGAACGTAACATATTTTATTGAAACAAACCATACATATCAATATACAATTGTATGGTTACAGATCATTTAATTTATTTAAACATTAATTATAAAATGATAGCAAACTTGTTGTCCAAAATGGTCTATTAAAGTTTATCATTATGTAATAAATAACTATTTTTGTCAGAACATGAAATCTATTTTAGTTTACATATCATTTCAATCAACATTTAATTAAAACAATTTATTGCTTTACTAGTGTTGAGCCCATACATAGGGTTAAGAATTATTGTTGTCAAAGGATAGCAACTTTTTATGACCACTTCTTATGTCGGGTTTGAGACCTAAAACTTTGGTATCACTGCTCAGACCACTCACTCTCTCTTTCCCCTCCACTAACGGCACAAGACGTACAAAAACTGTATTTTCATCACAAATTTTATCTCTAATATTTTGAATACCGTAAATAAGTTTAATTTAAAGTTATATTTTGTTTTAATTAAATAAATATAAAAACAATTATAAATGTATCATTTATCAATAATTAGACAATAAAATAAATAAGTTCATTTATAATTATAACAATAAATGTTAACAAATTAAAGCGCGTTATAAATAAACAAACTTTTAAACACAAACTAAGATTAATCAACAAAAAATATATACAATTTAAAACTGAATTTTGCTTCAAATCATTAAAGAATTGATTTTTGTGACCAAATGATAATTGAAGAGATAATCGGCGGCCAAGAGATGACAACTATAACAACGACAACACCGCCGACAACAACAGTGACACCACTTGAGTGTCGGATCTGTCACGAAGACGAGAGTCCGGAAACATTGATCACTCCCTGCGACTGCAGCGGATCCATGGCTTACGTTCACTACAATTGTATCGCCCGATGGATAACCACAAAGTCGTGCAATCGGTGCAGCGTTTGCAACAAACCATACAAACACGTGACCATTCGGGTGAAGAAACAGCCGGTGCGGACATATGTCCGGAAACGGTTGGCCGAGATCTTGACCGCCGTAGCCATCGTTGGGTTCATGTTTTACGTGGCGTTCATAGGGTTTGTGCACTCGTTGGTGGCCGACCAGACCGGGTACAAGCGTTTGGCCGCAGTCGCCCTCTACCCAGCGGTCACCATATTTGTGGTCACTCTAGGGGTCTGTTCGTCGATGTTATGGTCGTTGAAGACTGACTTTAATGAGTGGCGATTACGTGATATCCGATATGTAGCCGACTTTAAGCCCGCGAACAATACTAAGGCCGACACGAAAAGTGGTGTTCAAAACAGTTGTGATGTTATCGTGAAATGTGAGTCCAATTGAGTGGTTTGTCCCGTATTTTGAGCGCCGACTGGATATCAAATGTCAAAATTTGTAAAACAATTATAAATCTTATATTTAAATTCATTTTAATCTCTGTATGCTTTCAATTGAATGAGAAAAATAAAGTTTATTAATTAATTAATGCATTCCAATGTGTCACAAACTAATGTCATGGTGTTTTTCATGTTTTACTACTGTACAATAGTTTTATGTTAATGTTACAAATAAATGTTAAAAAATTAATTAAAGTGTGTAAAATGGTTGTTTTGAATGATTTATAAAATTGTTAAGTATTCAAATATTTAAAACTTGTTATAAACGTTAAGATCATTAGATTTACAAATAGTATCCAGTCTTTTGACACCAATTATTTAATAAAATGAATTTCACTATTGTTTTCTTGATTTGTGTCTCACTTAATATCAGCCACTCTTTGGTCATCAGGTCTTATAATTCAGAGAATGGCCGACAAAACCCAAGTCTTCCGCCAAATGGCATTCAATCAATCAATTTATCGGCAGATTTAGACAAACATGTGTTGAGCCGTCGTTTAAGACAATCATCGCCTGAAGACAACGGCATAAATGATGACAATTCAGAGAAGAAGTCTAAAACCAATGTCTCGATGACCACAATAGTGATCGTAATCGTGGTATTGGTTGTGGCGATCGGAGTCCTAGTGCTGGTCATTGTAATGCTGGCCAATAAGAAACCAGAAGCCGAGTCACCGACCAATAGGTCGGTCAATGCAGCGGATTTATCGATCAATCAAAACGTGACCACAAGTACTGAAGACAATATAGAAAATGTGGACGACTTGTACTCGACATTCAATTATTTCTATAACATTGCGCCAAACGATTACATCAAATACAGTAAATTCATTGATATTCGGGTCGAGTTTGAAGACCGAGATCCGAGACAAACCTCTTAAATGCCTATCATTTCTGTGCTCTAAATAGTATTTTTAAACTAATTTTACTTATATTTTATTTATTTATTAGAAATTGTTTGACTCTTCAATTCATTTATCGTTTATTTCATTTTCATTTTTTAAAACAAATAAATCTGTTTATAAAGTTATATACAGTATTTTGTTTGCAAATTTTGATGATTTATACATTTTTAATTAATCGCATAAATTTAGTAATCATTTTGTAAATATTTATTTTTATATTGTTTATACACTATTCAGTCAAAAAATCTGATGGTAACTGAATGTGAGGGTACGGGTGCTGTAAAACCAAGAGTCCTATACCACTCACTTAAATGATCCCTACAGTCAAGAGTTACTTTATAACAGCCCAACTCTCGGGCCATCAGTTTTAGTGTTTCAATGGCTAACTGACCCAATCGTTGGCCCCGATAGCCGCTGTCCACCACTACATCTTCTATGCGACCCCTCTGTCCGTTACAATCATTACATTAAATATTTGGTGTTTATATTCTGTTTGATTGTAAGCCCCGATACTGACCATTGATATGTTGTGCACAAACTTGTACTCCATATACAGTGTGGCCGAACTCACAATCCGACCGGTGGTCACGTCCTCAATAACCGTAACGTAATATTTACCATCATTTTTCATTTCTACAAAACGCTCTACAAATCACATAAATGTTTGTTTAATAATAATTAATTATTAATAAAATTGCAAATTAAATGATACTTTTTAAACAACATAATTATAATGTAAATCTAATTACCTTTGAATTGGTGTTCACTTATTGGGCCGACGTTTGTCATCAAATGTGACAACAAATCAGTGTATCCTTTCTTATAGTCCTCGCAATGAAGTGGTCTTAAGACTAAATGTTTGCCCACTTGTGATGGAGAGGTAACTGATGTTTGCCAACATTTAAAACATAATAAATATGTATTGAAACAAATGGTAAACAATTGTATTACCGGCTGAACTGTAATCCAGAGTTTTCAATAACTGAGGCCCGTATAAGAAACTACTTTCATCAAGAGTGATGTCTGATGTGATCATGATGTGATCAAGAGTGATGTCCATGTCTTGGAGTTTTAATTTTGGATCAGTTATCGATTAAGACAATGAGAGACACACTTGTCTATGTAAACTGTATGTGCACCCAATATTAATACATCATGATTATTAATACACTAAAATATACAGTATGTAGTGTACAGTAAATACAAAAATAATCTTAATAGAATAAGATTATAATTAGACGATAAAAAGTTTTGATAAATGTTAATTGATATGACTTCCAAAATTATTTATTAAATAAATTTGATTTAAGTTTATTTCAGTTTAAATTGTAATTATAAAAGTTTTTTCAATGTCATTCATTTATACTCTTAATAAATAGCAAAAAACATCATGTGAATAAATGTTAAAATAATATTTCCTTTTAAAATATAAAATTATAGTCAAATGATATAATACTAACTGTAAATGCAAATCTAATTAAGTATTCAATTAATTACAAAACAATACAATTAGTACTAAATAATAATAATCAGTAAATTGGTAGTGAATGCGTTGTGGGTGCGGACCAACTCCTTCAGACAAACTCCAACTTATTCTTCTTGATCTTCGAGCCATTGTTGTTGACATTGTCTTTGGATTTCATGAGTTTCTCGACAGACAGATCCAGTTTATAATCCTTTAGCTGAGGACCCAAACGGGTCTCATAACAAGGCGGCGGACAGTTGACTGGTCTGCGGAAATATGTGGGCAAAAAGTTGTTGGCACTCGTGGTTGAAGTAGTGGTTGAGTTTAGTCCAGTTCTCTGGCTTTCATAGCATTTCGTAAGCCTTTTGACCGTCTGTTTCATCGCGAACGCATAGTATTTGTGTTGCAATACATAGAGTATGGCGAATAGGAAGCACAGAATGATCATGGTCAATATGAACAAAAGTTTCATCGATTCCATCTGGAGGTCAATTGAGCGACAATCCATAGTGTGTTGTCGATGATAATGATGACCATCGCTGACGTTCATTGTATTGCCCGTCATATTCAACGTTTGTCTAGAATTGTGGTGAAAATAATAAAATGTGGTAAAATTTGTGGTATTATAATAATATAAACTCAAATAATAAAATTACTTGATATGAGTGATATTTATATCTGGAATGTATAAAATAAAATGTTTGCCGTTTTATAAAGTATAGCAAATTATTTTTGAAACTCACATATCGTTATCAATGTGTGATTCGTGACAAGTATTGGCTATCAAATGATGGGATTATCAATACTTTTGTATTGGAATTTCACTCGTGTTAGGGATTAGAGATTTTTATCAACAGAAATGTTTACATTTCTAATCGTAAATTCAAAAATAACTCTATTTTACGTTAATCTCTCTCTCTCTCTCTCTCTCTCTCTCTCTCTCTCTACATTAGTCTAACCAATAAATTGCTCTTTGATTCGTAAAAGTCGTTCCGTCTCTCTCTCTCTCTCTCTCTCTCTCTCTCAAAAATCTATTTTTAAATAATGATACCATTTTGTAATTTCAATAAATTTAATGTTTATTATTGTTTGTAAAGCATTTCACAATTTAATAATCATTTACAAGAATAGGATTTAATCAATATTTCTGTCGGAATCATATTTTCCTACAAAAACAATAATTATGTTTAAAATCCAAGCCATAAAATCGCTAATTTATACTTACTTTTCATAGCGTAATAAACAATAGCCAACGAAACGGAGGCAATAATCGCCGCAATGATTATCAATAAATAGGGATTTATTGTCGACTTTTCACTCATTAAAACTGTCGACTGTTCGGCGAGCCGTCGGTTGTCGTCGCCAACTGTCCTAAGAATCCAATCGATATAATACGAGACTCGAGTAAAGTATTGGACAGCCGGCGGACAGAGTTGTCCGGTGCCGGCGCTTCCCAACAGTCGGTGGTGCGAATAAATGCCTAACAATACGGCCCTATTGTTGTCATACTGTACAAGTGGTGACCCGCCGTCTCCCTGTCCTCACCCGCACACATATTAAGTGGTGTTAATTAGTGTTAGTTTAGTCACAGAATTAATTAAAAAACATACAAAACAAGCCATATGTCTGAATTCCCGGCCGCACACCTGTTTCGGATCGCCACCGCAGCTAACGGTGCCGTCGATTACGTAATCGGTTTTATGTAAATCATTTTGATTGCTCTGCTGGAGGGGCGCAATCGCTGCCGTATCCGCAACACTACCCCAACCGCTAAACAGTGCCATTTCCTGCCCCGTATTGGTACTATTCCGCACGGGTAGGCACACACTGTTTGCTGTGTAATACCGACTACCATTCCCTTTGTCAAACACTATTGGGTCCACTTTTGTCCTGAGCCTAATGAGAGCGATATTATCGACACCATTAGACACTTTTAATCCGTTCGGCGCTGTAATGTTGGCCACTCTATGTCTCTGCCCCTGAATTTTATTTGTCGACCCAATCCATACGGACAACCACTTGATGGGAATGCTATTTATATGAATAAATTAATTAAGATTGTAATCGTAAATGACTGATTGGTTGCCATTACTCTGTCAAACAACTGGCAACCGTTAACACCCAGTAGGGGCTAATGATAGCACCGCCGCAGTATTGATCAATGGTTTCATCGCCACTCGGTTTAGCGATATGTATGGACGCCATCCACGGAAACTCACCCGACCGGGCCTTCTGTCCGCCAATTATACGGCTCGACGCCAGTGTTTCCGCCGGCGAAGTGCTGTCCATCGGTTCACTCAATCCACACGATTTTAATTGAATGTCATCTGAATAGTCGCCGACTTTTGAATGCGTTTTTTGACAGTTATTTATATCTAGTTTTGTTGGAAACAAACAAAATTGATGTTAATTTCTATAGTGATTCTGAAGCTTAATGGTATTAATTATATATTGGCTACAATACTAACTAAACATTAACACTATAATAGTGTAAATCAGTAATAAAATGGTAAATATTTCACTCATTTATGCATTAATTGAATCGATTAAACAAAGATTAAAATTTCTGATAAGATCTCAATTCAAATGTTATGTTAACAATAAGTGAAACAAAAAATTCACGCAAACAGTTATCCGGTTATTAACAACTAAATGAAAGTAAGTTACAAATATTTTACAATCAATTGTTTCTAGAGAGAGAGAGAGAGAGAGAGAGAGAGAGAGAGCCGGAGAGAGAATAATGTATCATAAATTATGTAATTCAAACTATGACAATGGATGCAAAACTTTCAGATAATGTTTACTCATATCATTTAAAACTGATAATTAGTGATTCCGGGCAGAAGAAAGCGCTCAAACGTATAGTTTTCCAATACTTCGGCCACTGTTTTGCCAGAAGTCCTCAAATCTGTGGCCAAATCCTCTAAGACATTGAGATCATAACCGACACAATCGTATGATTTGCGAGCTTTGTTTGCCATATACTCTATAGCTTTGGCCAACGATTGGATGTCTTTGGAGACCTTATGTGTGAATTCATTGTCATCAACGGTAACCCCCAACCGCTCGTACTGTTTCCGCCCAACACTATCACCAAAGTCTGTCCATTTGGCCACCGGTCCGGTCGGTGTCTCAAAGATCAATATATTGCCGGTGTGTGGGTCGCAGTGAGCGACACCACTTTCGTGCATATAACACATGCCTAATTATCATAAAAATTGTCGTTAGTTTAATTATACAGGTATATTAATTTGACAAAATGAGTGTGGTAGATAATTAATTGTGAGCACAATATAACCAACTCGTAACATATGATGTACAATACATACCGGCGCACACATCCCGAGTGAAATGGATGGCCAACAAAACATTGAGTCTCTTTTGATCGCAAAACTGATTGAGATTACAGTCCGCGCACTCCATCACCAAAAACATGCGGTCATACGAGACGATTGGGTTCAGCTGTGGATTGTTTTTGTTTAATAAGTATCTGTTTTTACCCAAATTGATGGCTATTTTAAAGCTAACAATATTTGGATGATTGAGAACTTTCATAATCTGTTTTTCCGTTTCGTGAGACATGCGGTCCATCAGCGGTGCTGTCGGTATGAACTGCACGTATTTGGCAGCAAATGGTTGTCCGGGCCGTACATCTCCCATATGACTGCTCTCCCGAGCGTTCAATTGGTTAATCTATAAAACAAAACTAATTTTAAAAATTATTAACTAATTTTTGTTTAATAAGCATAAACTGATCCAAACAATAAGTTACTAGTGTTTAGATCATTGAAAACCTACACCAGTATTAAAAACCCCGCGAAACACTTGGCCGTAGAGGCCTTCGCCGAGACTCCCGCTGTCGTCAAAGTGAATATCAAAGCCATTGGACATCAATTTTTGTAAATCACTTTTGGTTTTGTCATTGAGAATGAATGGTTGGTTTTGTTCATTTTGTTGCAAATACTTCTCATATGCTTCGTCTCCATCACTAGTGCTAACATTTAGTTCACCGGAAGTGTAGTCGACTATCCCCTCGAGCCCATCGCCAGAGGGATGGATGGCATAGGTCTGCAGCAGTCTTTGAAGTGCCATCAATGGTATAGTATTATCCGGTGGTGTTATCCAATATATAATCCGGTGATGGCTTTAATTTGTTTACAAATAATTATCCCAAACAAAACTTGTTGGGTTTTGTTTTAGATATTTGTGTTGATTTTTAAACGGTTTCATTGTCTCAACAATTCACTAAATGTTGTTTAAAAGAATAATTTAAAAATTAATTTTGTAAATTGTTGTTTGAAATCTACAATGTACAGTATACTAATTCTATACAAGTTGGATTGTATTTATTTTAGCAAAATCCTGTGTGTAAAATTTTTATACCTGGATAACAATTGTCTGAATTTATATTACAACCATCATCAGTAAAAATACAGTACATAGATGAATTTTACAGAATTAATTAACAACTGTACATTCATGTAAATTTTCAATGCTTATGATAATAAAACCTAAAATGTATGATCGATATACAATTGGGCAAATATTTACTAATAACACTAACAACAAGACTAATAAGTGACCCCGGGCAGTAGAGTTTTTTCAAACCTATAGTTTTCCAACACTTCAGCCAAATGTCTTGTCAGTAGTATTCAAATCTGTGGCCAAATCCTCTAAATCCAAGAGATCATAACCGACACAATCGGCTCCATTGGCGCCTTTGGCTGCGATATAACCTATAATTTTGGCCAATAATTGAATGTCTCGGCGCACCAGTTGTGTGAATTCAATGTCATCGATGATAACCCCCCACCGCTCGTACTGTTGCCGCCAAACACTCTCTCCGAAGTCTATCCATTTGGCCACCGGTCCGGTCGGTGTCTCAAAGAGCAGTACATTACCGATATGGGCGTCGTTGTGGGCCACACCGCTCTCATGCATATAACACATGCCTAATTATCGACAAATTATAGTTAGAAATTAATTTAACAAAACAAATTTGGTAAAGGTAAATTAATAATCAACATAATACAAATACACATACAAGAATATGTATACAGGAATACAATATAAAGTTTACATGTATGTCAAATACAATATTACAGTACATACCGGCGCACATATGCTGTGCAAAATCAATGGCATACCGATCGTTGAGTCTGTTTTGGTCGCAATATTGCTCGAGACTACACTCGGCCAAAGCCATGACCAAAAACATGCGGTCATACGAGACAATGGGTTCCGACTGAGTAGTGATTTGATTCAATAGGTAATGCTTTTTACCCAAATTGATGGCTATTTTGAAACTTACAATATTTGAATGATCGAGAGTTTTCATAAGAAGTTTCTCAATCTCGTGGTTTAGACGTTTTAGCAGAGATGCTGACGGTATGAACTGTAAGTATTTGACCGCAAATGGTTGTCCAGACTCTACGCCCACCATATGTCGGCCCTCATCAGCGTTCAATTGGCTTATCTATAAAATATGTAAAATAAATTTTTTATATACTTTATATACTATTGTTAACAACTACTCGTATTATAAACTAATCGAAATATTAAAAACTAGTGTTTAAATAATCAAAAATATACCCCTTCGTTAAAAACTCCGAGAAACACTTGGCCGGCGAGACCGCCGCCGAGTCTTTCGGTTTCATCGAAATGAATTTCAAAGCCTTTTTCATGAAGTGTTTGCAAATCATTTATGGTTTTGTCTGTGAGAGTGATTTCCTGGTCGTCCGGCGATTGTTGCAAATACTCTGCATATCCCTCGCCATCACTGCTAACGTGTAGATCACCGAAAGTGGTGTCGAGTGTCCCGTCGGGCTGTTGGCCATCGGTATGAATGGCGTACGATTGCAAAAGTCTTTGAGCCGCTTCTGTGGTTGTGATGGCATCTATTGGTTCCGATCCCTCCGAGTCCTCAATCGATGAAGTGGATGGCTCTGACATCTTTGGCACATCTAATACTTTGTTTTAAAACTTTTGTCCAAATTTTTATTGTTGTTTTGTAGTAAAAAATTTTATTTATTTATTTAAAATAATTTTAACATAAGATTTTTCAAAACTTTTATGCAAAACTTTTCAATCAAAACAAAAGTAATTGTAATAAACTTCATAACAAATATCTGTTTCTTTGTCTTATTATAGCCAATAGTCGTGGTGTCCATTGATTCACTCGATCCGTGAGATTACAGCTAAACGTGTAAATAGTCGCCAACTTTTTCTGACACTTAATTATAATGTCAAAGTGAGTCGATATAACATCATATTGACGTATTATTATTTGCATTTTATACAAATATTTTTGAAAAATATCATTTTAATCAATAGATAACCCGCAGATTAAAGGGAAAAATTTACTGGCAATAAGAATAATACAATAACTGGTAATTAGAGATCCCTGGGACGACGAAAGCGCTCATAGCTTTTCAACACTTCGGCCAATGTTTGGCCACATTTGGCCGCATTTGTCACGTCTGATACCAAACGCATGAGTTCGGCGCCGACAGTGTCGGGTCCGGCGAGGATATTGTCCGCCATTAACACGATATTTTGGCACAAATAAGTGAAGTCACTTCTCATGAGAGTTGCGAATTTATTGTCAGTAACAGTATCGCCCCACTCCTCGTACTTTTGTCGCCATATACTCAGACCAAAGTCCGCCCATTTGGCCACAATTTGTCTGGCAGATGTCTTGAAGATCAACACATTGCCCGCGTGGGCGTCGCAGTGGACAACACCCATGGCATGCATATAAGACATACCGGCGCAGAGATCACGAGTGAAATCGGTGGCCAATTGATTGGTTAGTTTTACACGGATGCAAAAATTCTTGAGACTATCGGCCGCTAAATCCATGATCAAAAACATGCGGTCATACGAGACAATGGGTTTGATCTGTCGATCCCTTTTGTGCAATAAGTATCTCTTTTTGCCCAAATTGATGGCCACTTTAATGTCAACAATATTTTGATGTTTAATACTTTTCATAATCTGTTTCTCCATCTCGTGATAGAGTCGGTGCACGTCCTCTGCTGTCGGCGGGAACTGAACATATTTGGCCGCAAATGGCTGCCCAACGCTTACTTCCTTCATATGACTGCCCACCGGAGTCGTTTTATATGCGCTAATCTATAAAACAAACACATTTTTATAATTATTAACAACAAACTTAATAGTCATATTGTAAACGAATCAAATAATAAGGATTAGTGTTTGAATCATTAAAAACATACCCCATCGCCATAAATACCCTGATAAACTTTGCCGTATTTGCCACCACCGAGTCTACCCGTGACACTGAAATCAATATCAAAGCCATAGCCTTTCAGTTTTTGTAAATCATTGGTGGTTTTGTCGAGCAGAGTCTGGTACTGGAGTGCCGGGTCTTGTAGTTGCAAATACGTGTTGTATTTGTCCATATCTTCGCTACTCTTCACGTTTAGCACTCCGGACGACGTGATGTCGGCTTTCCGGTCGAGGTCCTGGCCATAGGGATGCAGACCATACATGTCCTCGAGTCTGTCTCGCGGTAATGGCATTACTTGTGTTTGAGGTGGCGGTGCCGCTCGGCCTGAGTGCTGTGTCTGATCAACAGCCGATTGTCTCGATTGCGACCCACCGGCTGCTAATCCCTTTGATTGGTCAATGTTTTGGGCCATGCGCAATTTTTTTTGAGCTAATCTCTCCCTTTCCTTAAGCTGGAACTCCCGTAAAAATGAGTTCAGCTCATCGGGTGCTGCAGTTGTAGTGCTGAGCGTAGCGATGGGGGCGCCGGAGGGCGAAAGTGCAGCACCGGATTTACTGAATTGGGACACTGTTTGCTCGCCGGTCGGGTAAAGAGTTTGCCCTCCCTCTGCCTCTAAGGGTGCGTTTGTGAAGTGCTGCTCATCTGTGGCCTCGCGTTCAGCACTGGAAGGAGGAGTTGACGGAAGACTATCACTGTGTTTCCTCTTCGGTTGTCTTCGCTCGTCCGACATTTTGTTTAAATTTGTAATTTAAATAAGTTTTCAACGAATTGAATATAATTTGCTTTATTGTTAAAAATGCAAAATTAAATCAAATTATGATTTCAAGTAAATACCCGCCTTCTCTGACCCATACTATAACCACTACCAACTACTAGTAGAGCCACCGCTACCCGTACTGTCCTCATTGTTGGCCGCACTGGTAGTAGTCTGAGTAGTAGTGAACACATAGCCGGGCGGTGGGTATGCGTACTCTCGAGTCCATTGTCGGGCCGTTTTGTTATACTTAACCCGGTTATTGCGAAACATACGAGCGCTCGTGCCGTCGAGGGGGTCGCTGGGGTTGGGGTCGGCCATCAGTTGCTGTATAGACATCAGCACTTTGCCAATGCTAAGTGAGGCGCTCCAGTTGTAGGTCAATGTGTCCAAACATATAGTACCCGATTGGCTGATGTTTGGGTGAAATATTCTTGTGGTGAAGTAAATGAGCGGCGCTTTGAACGGGTAATCGGCCGGAAATACGATCACAACTTTGAACACACCCCCCGAATAGGGAGTGTCCGGCGGACCCTCAATACTGCCCGACCACTGGAAATAGTCGGTGCCATTGGGTGCGGCCGTACAGCCCGGCGGCGGATCTCTTTGAAGTTCTGTCAACTCTTTGTGGATCCGCTTTAAGGCCATTGTATCGCCCG